GATGGGGTAGGAGATGGGTGATGGGGTAGGGATGGATGATGGGGTAGGATGGATGATGGGGTAGGATGATGATGGGGTAGGATGACGGGGTAGGATGATGGGGTAGGAGATGGATGATGGGGTAGGAGATGGGTGATGGGGTAGGGATGGATGACGGGGTAGGGATGGATGACGGGGTAGGATGGATGATGATGGGGTAGGATGATGATGGGGTAGGATGATGGCCTCCTCACTAATAAAGAAGCCTTATGGGCTGGGCACTATAGCCCCTTAACCTCTCTAAAACTGACTTGATTGTCACATTGGTTACCTATACACTGTCTCTCAGGGAGGTATTCAGTCTAGGAATTGACACAGGCCTATAATCTCAGCTACTCGGAAGACTAGGGCAGGAGGCTCATAGGTTCAAGGCCTGCCTAAACTGCCTATAGTGAATTCAAGGCCAGCCTGGGCAACTTAGCAAGGTGCTGTTCTAACAGGAAAAGGTAAAAGGCTGGTCACAGTCAGTCGGAGTCACTTGGCATGCAGGCCTTGGAAATGCACCCTTTCTGAGCTGTTCCCTGACTCCTCAGTCGGTGGGTGAGAGGCCGACTCAGACCCATGGTCCCACCCGTCAGCCCACACTCCCTTGTGCCCACAGGCTGCTCCGCGGAGATGCAGTGGTGGAGCTGGGCCTCAACGATTACCTAGACATCTTCTGCCCACATTATGAAAGCCCAGGGCCCCCGGAGGGCCCCGAAACCTTCACTTTATACATGGTGGACTGGTCAGGCTACGAGGCCTGCAAGGCAGAGGGGGCAAGCGCCTTCCAGCGCTGGAAGTGCTCGCTGCCTTTTGCCCCTTTCGGCCCTGTCCGATTCTCAGAAAAGATCCAGCGGTTCACACCCTTCTCCCTGGGCTTCGAGTTCCTGCCGGGAGAGACTTACTACTACATCTGTAAGTGAGCAGCTCGGCATGCCTCCTGGGGGGAGGGGAAGGAGATGAGGAAGGGGCTCTGGCTCCTAAGGCTTAGGGGCTGGGTTGAGCCAGGTAAGGGATCAACTCAACTGAAACTGTGCTGGGAAGACTGTGGAAGCCAGGAAGGAAGACTAGGGAGTTGCCGAGAGTCATGGAGGAGTTGGTACTTGGGGTGACTCGCAAAGGAAGACAAGCCAAGAAGACCTGAAATAGTCTGATTTCAAGGGATGGTTTTCTGTGCTAACTTCTTCTTCCCAATTTCCCATCAGCGGTGCCAACCCCGGAGAGTTCTGGCCGGTGCTTGAGACTGCAGGTGTCTGTGTGCTGCAAGGGGAGTGGTAAGTGGGCCAGGGTCTGGGGCCCTTTGGGGGTCGAGAAAAAGTGTGTGTGTGGGGAAACAGGAACATCAGACCTAAGGGGTCCAGGCTAAGCGTCAGGCTCCAGCCTCTTCTCCCAGACACCCCTGCGGCAGCTTCTACCACACCTTTTTTTAAAGCTGGGCATGGAGAATGGGGCTCCCAAGGGCCCCATTCCAAGTCTTATTTGGACTTGAGGACTACTGACTAGGAAGGTTTGGAAGTAGGGTTTGGGAAGGATGAGGGCGGTCGTGGGGAGGCAGTGGCTGCTTTGGGAGACCCTAGAGCCTGAAAACAGAATGAGAAGGCCAGGGCGGAGGCTGCTGAGGAAGCAGGAAAACCCAGCAGGTTCCACATCTTCTCCCTCACAGGATCCGAGTCAGCCCATCCTGTTGGGAGCCCTGGAGAAAGCGGCACATCTGGGTGGCGCGGAGAGCATGCTCCCAGCCCCCTGTCTCTCTTGCTGCTGCTGCTGCTCCCAATACTTCGTCTCCTGCGAGTTCTGTGAGCCAAGTGTACCTTCCCTGTCACCCCAAGGAACCAGAGCCCTTCCCAAGATCCTCTGCTGAAGGGGTTTTAGCCACCATACCAGTGATGCCGTGCCAGGCAGACACGATGAAGCTTTGATGTGCAAAGTCAGAGGATCTGAGGTGACCCCTGTAGGTGACTGCCCCTCACCACAGGCTGAAGAGGAACTACAAGGGAGCTGCAGACTGTCCAGGGCACCCTGGAGCATCGCTGCTTTGATGGTCTGGTCTCTTCCCCCAGAAGACTGGGATTTGGTGAGATCAAATCCTTGAGCCACTGGGGGCTGAAGCCAAAGACCTGTGAACAGGTGGGTTCCTGGCCAAGAGCGAGGGAGAAGCCATGCCATCTGTCCCCTCTAGGTGTCTTCCCAGGGGCAACTGTTGCCCTCCCAGGGGCCATTTATTTGTCTTCTGTGAAGACGGACTTACCATGAGGTTGAATTTCATGCTGGTTTGTATTTTTTATAAGTGTTTGGACCAAACCTTCAATAAATCACCCATTCTCATGGGGCATGGTGGCTCACACCTGTAATCCCAGCACCGGGGGGTGGGAGTGGGGTGGGGGTGGTAAGCAGGAAGTCAGTCTGGGTATGGGAGACCCTGTCTCAAAAAAAAAAGGAGGCCAGTGAGAAGATTCAGCAGGTTGAAGTATTTGCTTGCTGTAAAGCCTTGACCACCTGAGTTCAGTCCCCGGAACCCACCCACATGGTGGAAAGAGAACATGGTGAAAGTTGTCCTTTGGACATGCCACATGAGAATACACACGCACACACACACACACACACACACACACACACACACACACACACACTAATAAACTTGCGTTAAAAACCACCATCTTTGTGTTACCTTCCCTTCTGACTTCTTCCCTGACACCTGAACTCCCTGGAGCCTCATCTCTTAGCTTGACTTGGCCTGACCTCCATGCCAGCTGTGCCCAGGCCATCCATGCCAGACATCAGTGGGCACCCTCTGGGCAGTTTGGGATAGGTGCCAGCAGCAGCTGTGGAGCTTGGCACCCTCTCGCACCTCCCCAGCCATCTTCCTGTGCTAGGTGGCAGATGCTGCTGACATCCCACTCTGGTAATGCCTACCCCGGGTGCTGGGGTAAAACCCAGGGGAAACAGAAAAGCACCTGGGTTTCAGAAAGCCGGCGTCGCAACTTGCCGCCCTCCCCCTCCCCAAGGGCACTCTGGGCGGTGCCTGGCCTAGAACTGGGAAGGTGGGGTCAGATCAAAGCCTTCCTCCCCAGCGGCCTCTTTGTTCTGAGCTTTTATAAGGAGAAGGAGGTGGGGCTCTCAGGAGAGAGGGCTCCTTCGTCCTTAGTCCGATACTGTCTCTTCCTCTCAGATAAGACTGACACCCCCTAACTCCGCAAGGGCCCTCTTTCTGAACTGTGCCCTAGGTGGGAGCAGGGGAGGGAGCACCCCTTCCCGTGTGCTCGCGCTCTGCCCTCCCTGGTGCCCCGCAGGCTCCTCTGGCTATGTGCCGGCCTGCCTGGCATGGAGCCAGCGATCGATAGGTGGATGTTGTGCTGATTAGCCCGACCCGGCTGCGGCAGCGTGTGAAGATTATGGGACGGGGGGCATGAGGGTCAGGCATCAAGATGCTGGAGTTGGCGAAGCCTTCCTCCACCCCACGTCTCCTTGCACACCTAAGTCAAACTGGTTTCTTTAAAGGAATGGGACTCTGGTCCTCACAGTTCGCGGTAATTCTTTGGCTCTGGCTAAGACCCAGGGTTAAGGAGAGTAGCGGCAGGCAGAGCAGATTTTTGAGTTAATAATCTCCTCATTCGAGGCCAGTTTCAGAAAATGTTGCTTTATCGGTGTTTGGGTTAGGGTCCTGACCCTAAACTTTGATCTTCAGCAATTAAAAAGATGTTTATGTGTCGAAGAAAAGGCGGACTGAGAACTGTGGGAGGAGCTGTTGGCTCAGTCTTTTGGTCCAGCGTTGGAGTTCATCGCTGCCATCTTCCTGGAGGGCGTCTATGTGTTGCCATGGAAACCAAAGATCCAGTTACCTCCGTCCCTGTAAATAATAAGCAGGGCAAGTCCGGGGAGATTGTTTAGTGGCCTCTGCCCTGAATTCAGAAATACGGGTTCTTACCCAGCTCCCCCGAGATTACACACGCCTGTTCTCGGACCCAGCAGGAACTCTGGCTGGCAGCGCCAATCCCTTGTGCAAAAGAGACTGAGACCTCGTTGGTTTTTCTCAAATTCAGACACATGGTCTCAGTCTCAGGCCGCGCTTGACACAGACTCGTGCATTTGCAGGTGCAAGGGCGGATGCTGGGGTGGGCACAGGAGCACCCTCAGGCTGGAGGCCTTCAGGCCAAACCATACTCCCCTGCCCCTTCTTTTCGGTTCCCTTCCTCACAGCGTGAGCCCTGCACGTTTGGCAGTTGCCTGCCCAGGTACTCCCTGGTAGAAAGGTCTCATGGAGTCTGCTCTTAGCACCAATACAGGCTGAAGGCTTTGGGCGGCCCTCCCGCGCCTGGCCCTACCCACGAGAAGTCTTCGCAGCGTGTGCAGGGACACAGTTCCAAGAAGTTATGCAGGCCTGTAAGTTTGGGGCGTCACCGGTCTCCCCTAAATTCAGCGGCTCTGGACGGCTGAGGGTGGGGCCCTCAATTTACTAAACCAGCCCTAGTCTCAGCAGTACAGATGAGAAAATTTAATCTCCCTCTGTGTCCCAGGCTTGAGAGAATCTTTTGCCTGGATTCTGCTCCACACTTACCACGGTACAAATTGCCCTTCAAATCCCGAAATGGCCTTTTCTGTGATTCTCTCTTCTCCGGCTCCTTCTTTTCCGTATTCACTTCCTCCACTCATCCCTTCAGCACTCTGTGAGCTCCCCGCCATCCTTTTAGTTAGTCACACTAGCTGGGGTCGTCGGGGGATCCCCACAGTGACGCAGTTGAAAAGTGAGCACTCTGCCTTCCGAATAGCCAATAGAATCCCTGAACCTGGGGCATGAGGTCATCAGTGGCGATCTGCATTGGTTCAGGCCTGGAAACGAAGGTCCCCATAGCAACCGACGGTGCGTCCAAGCGTAACCTTGAGAGTGGTCATTGCTCCAGCTGCTGTGATCCATCCCCTGTAGCCGTTTTAGGAAATGGGTTGAAGAAGCTGGAGTGAAGTTCAACATCCCAGGTTCTGTAGCCTTCACCCAAGCAAGCTCTTGTCTTACTTAAAATTATTCTTTTTCACTCAAAACAAAGGTCAATGTCACTTAACCCAGAAAGTTTAAGTAGGGGTTATTTGCAACAATCATGGTGCCTTGGGTGCAGAGCTTCTGCCATGGGGAATGTCAATTCTGAGATCTGTTCATCTGCATATCGTCTGCATCTCATTTGCATTCTGCTCATTTAAGGTCAAATTGGGCAGACATCTCCACCTCCCTATCTCTGTCACTTGTCTGTATCTGCAATCTATCTCTTGGTGACTCTGTAGTCCTCCACTGTCTGATTCCATGGTCCCCACCCCTCCTCCCACTCTCCAAAGTCTCCTGGGGGTGGGAAGTGGCAAAGACTAGCTACAGGAGAAAGAATAAGGCATGTGCCTCTCCTCTCGATGCTGGCGACAGATGGGGAGTGCTGGTCGCTACTGCCTGGAGACTAAATTGGCAAAGCTACTAGTGGGGGGAGGTGCCCCGGCTGGGGCGAAGGTCTCCAGGGCCAAATCACCCACATGCCTGTTGAGATGCTGGAACCAGGGATGCCGGGTTCCAGTAAGGAGCAGGCTTGCCCACCTGTCTGGTGCCAGGGCAGCTTCCTCCCCTCAATTAAACACTAATGAGGTGTCATTTAACCCTTACCTTGACTACTAGCTGTCATGCATGTGGAACTGAAAATCACGGTCTCACACTGATCAAAGGGTGGGAAGGACAGCCTCCAAGGAGACAGAGATCAGGGCACTCGGACACAGGAAGGAGGGGCCTTGTGCAGGTCTCTCAAGGGAGTCTATGACTCTAGGGTTCATGTGGACTCTCCATGGACTCTAAGAATAGTGGCGTTGTCCAAATGCATTTTTTCTCTCATGGATTTACAATTATTTATTAAACACCTCTGCTAACTAAATACCAGACGGCATTTGGGTGCTGGGTACACTTATTTGCACGAAACAAGAAAGTTTCTCTTAAGAAACCTTCAGAGACATGCCAGGCTGAGTTCGAGGCTAGACTGGTCTACAGAGTGAGTTCCAGAACAGCTGGGATTACAGAGACAAATCCTGTCTCAAAAAAAAAAAAAAAAGGAATAAAGAAAGAGAAAAGAAATCTTCAGAGACAGGCCAGCCGTTAAATAAGTATGATGCCAAGTGCAAGAATTAATACAGAACTACATACAAATGACTGGGAGCAGGCTTGCTCGTCTAAAGGACCTGAGTTCAATTCCCAGCACCCAACCACATGGTGGCTCACAACCATCTGTAATGAGATCTGGTGCCCTCTTCTGGTCTGCAAGCATGCATGTAGGCAGAATACTTTGTATACAAAAAATAAATCTTTTAAAAAAACTTACAAATGATTGGGAACACAGGGGGGAATGGGCTCTGAGAGAAGCTTTGGTTGAGAAGAACAAAATTTATGGCAGGGAGATGCTTGTGTGTTTTCACATAGCAAAAGTCCACATGGAGATGTACTTTAAGAACTGTTGGTACATGCCTTGACAGTATGTTTTCATCTACATGAATGTCTGAGTGTGTGCGTGTGTATGAGAGATCTGGATCTCTTGATCTCTGCTTCTGAACTTGTATTGTGGTTTTATTACAGACCAATGCTGCGAAGATGCTCTTGTGCAGATTGGCCTGAACCTGCACAGCCCAGGGGAGAGAAGTGGGGAACTCATGTTGGCTCCATGGGGAAAAGTGGGCATCAGAGCCAGAAACCTAGCTCGTAGAGCAGCAGCAGCCTGGCCAACAGAGACAAAGGGCTGGGCTCCAGGCTGCAGGGTACAACGAGGCATGGTGGGCCACTCTGTCTCTGACTTCCCAAGTGACATGGGTGTTACATCCACCACTCCCCACCAGGAGTCCAAGTCCCTGCCCCCACCAGTTCTTCCGTGTTAAAGAGCAGGCCAGCTCAGACCTGTCTGCTGGCTCTCTCCCTGGGAAGCTGATCTCCAGGGACAGGAGAGGCTGGGGAATGCTAAGGCTTGCGGAGAGGTTGCCAGATACTCCACCCTGACTCGACAAGGCTCTCTGCAGCCTGGGCTCTCCCCACCCACTCTGGTCTTTGCCCAGACATAGACTTCATTGCCAGGATGCCCTTGAATGTTGGGCCGAGAGTGGGGGCCAGAGCTCCGACTGTGAAGATGTCTGGGTAGTGGTACCCAGCTCAAAGACCTCTCTAGACCATGGGGTATAAGGTCAAGCGCTCCTTCTCCTACAGTTTGAAGACAGGGCATTTCTTATTTATTTCTTTATTTACCCCTTTGTAGCCTTGATTACCCTTGAGCTCACAGAGATCTACCTGCCTCTGCCTCCCCCTGAATGCTGGGATCAAAGATGTGCACCACCATGCCAAGCTAAGACTTCTTTACAAACAAAACAAACAAACAAACACACACATAACTTTCTCTTCCTCCAACCTATTTAATCTTTTCCTACTCTCCAAGCCCTAGGTTACCTTTCTCTCTCTGATGGTTGCCAGGCAAGGAATTAGGGGAAGCGAGTGGAAAGGGATTCTGGGCTGGTCTGGGTGGGCAGAGCAAGGAGGCAAGCTCTTAATAAGGACTCTGATGAAGCCTCCATTAATCAAGCATCTGCTGGGCCTGGAGCACTGTGTTAAGTGATTCCCAGAGAGTGTGGATTCTGATCCTTACAACAAGCACCTTCTCAAGGAGGGAGGGTGTTATTAGCCCCACCGGGGAGAGGAGAAAAGCAGACCAGGAGAAGCTAAGTGACCAGCAAGTCACTGAGTAGTAGGCTCACGCTGACGCTGTACACATGTCCTCTTTCTCAATGCTTCTTCTTCAAGGACCACATTTCTAATGGAACACCCCAGAGACATCACCTACGACAGCCGCCCTGGCTTCCTCAGCCCAGTAGAGGAATCAGGCATGGGTAGGAATTGAGATTATTGTACTTTGACTCCTCCAACCAAGCCTTGCATCCTAAGCTTCTGTATCCTAGACAAAAATGGGGGTTCTGTGTTCCCTACTGCCATCCATTATTTTTTCAGCCCATGTAGTGCAGCGTACCACAGGGCCACATGGACACACAGGCAGAAGTGAGAGGAGTGCACACACCTGGCCCCCCCCACGGTACCTAGGTGTCGCTGGTACTTACACAGCCGAACACTCATGACCCTGTGGAAGGTGCAGAGCCTGTGAATATTTCATGTCAGGAGCTGGCGGCGGCGGCTGCTGCTCACACCATGCCCAGCTTCCCTCTCACAGGCTTCTTGTTTATTTGTTTAATGAATTATTTATCCAGCCCCCTCCCCTCCCAGCCTTCCCCTCCCCCAGGCCCTAGCCTCCATGATTTATTGAACTAAACTCAGCTCTGTGGTTGCTACCCTATGTCCTGGGAGCTGCCGTGGGCTACATAGCTGAGTGCTCCCTGTGCCCCAGACCTGCTCAGCTTTTCTGATTCCTTGGACCTCAGGGATGGGGAGAATGGAGCACCTTGTAAGATTTTTTTCAGGGAGCCTGAGCTTAATGCTCCTAGGGAGATGATGGCAGCCAGCCCCAAGGCCAGTGGAACTAGAAGGCAAAGCTTCCATGTGAGAGGAGGCCTGAGGCCCAGAGGGAGAACCAGGCCTATGAAGCAAACTCCAGTTTCACCGACAGCAGGTTAGAGTCATGTCTGATGTTTCAGCGTTTCACACTTAAGTCTGTGACCTGCTGTGGGAGATAAAACTGAGGAGCTGATTTTATTTATTGTCTCAGACAGCTTTATCCTTGTTACTATTGTTGCTTTGAGACAAGGTCTCATAGGTTGGCCTCAAACAACTTTTGTAGCTGAAGATGATCTTGAACTTTTGCTTCTCTACCGCCCAAGTGCTTGGATTAAAGGCACCACTATACCTGACTTATTTAAAAATTTTAACACTAGGCATGTTAGCACATGTGTTTAATTCCAGCACTCCAGCAGGTGAGTTCAGGGCCAGTGTTGTCTTCATAGGAAGTTCTGGGACAGCCAGGGCGACACAGTGAGACCCAGTCTCAAACAAACAAATAAACATCATTTTATGTGTATGGGTATTTTGCCTACATGTGTGTCTATGCACCATGTGTGTACCTGGTGCCTGAAAAGGCCAGAAGAGGGGGTAGGATCCCATGGAACTGGAATTAAAGGTGGTTGCAAGCTGCCAACTTGGGAATCAAATTCATGTCTTTTTACAAGGGTTAAAAAGTATTCTTAACTACAGAGCCACCTCTTCAACCCCAAAATCACTTTTAAAGAATGAAACAGAGGGAAACTGAGGACATGTTCCCTATAGCAGAGTAAATATTACTTTGCGAACCTTTCTGCTTCTGCTCCATGATACATTCAGCAGCGCTGTAGATGTGTGCGCACAGGCATGCTGTGTGGCGGTGCTGTAGATGCATGTGCGCACAGGCATGCTGTATGGCGGCGCTGTAGATGTGTGCGCACAGGCATGCTGCATGGCGGCGCTGTAGATGTGTGCGCACAGGCATGCTGCATGGCGGTGCTGTAGATGTGTGCGCACAGGCATGCTGCATGGCGGTGCTGTAGATGCATGTGCACACGCATGCTGGATGGCAGCGCTGTAGACTTGTGTGCACACGCATGCTTGATGGCAGCGCTGTGGATGTGTGTGCAGACGCATGCTGGATGGCAGGCCTGTAGACATGTGCGCACAGGCATGCTTGATGGCAGCGCTGTAGATGTGTGTGCACACGCATGCTGGATGGCGGTGCCAAATAGATAAGACATTCCTACCACGGGTCAGTCAAG